TTTGTCTCCTTCTTAATCTTTAGGGCATCATGTTAGTCTATGACATCACCAATGAAAAGTCTTTTGAAAATATTCGGAACTGGGTCAGGAATATCGAAGAGGTAATTTCTCTCTTTACTTACTGAGTAATAAAGATGCTATTTCTTCCTCCAAAAGTAGTTGAAACTTAATCGCTTCAGAAGCGTGAAGTTGCCTTTGAGTTCATGCGCTGACAGGTACTTGGAAAACGAATTGAATGAAAATCGGTAATAACCTCTGGAAGGTCTTGGCTAACAGTCGCTCCTTATGCTGGCGCACGAGAGCCGGCGGCGGGGGCTGTGGTCCCCCTAGTGACGAGGGGACCCAGCAGATGACATTTTCCTGCCACGACAAGCGACGCGAGAGCTGTCGCCGTGCAGGACACGCGCTGGGCTGTCGGTGCCTGCAGTGAGCTGCTGGGATGAGGGGCTCGGGGGAGCCCGTCGCTCTGCGGGAAGCGCTTGGCACCAGCGTCTCCACGTCAAGCCCTCGCTGCGTGCCTCATCTTTTTTGACAATGTTTGCCTAAAACCACCCAAGCCAGAGCCCTTTCTTTGATCTGTTTCTATCTCAGCACGCCTCTCCAGATGTTGAAAAAATGATCCTTGGGAACAAATGCGATGCAAATGACAAAAGACAAGTTTCCAGAGAGCAAGGGGAGAAGGTAAGTGCCGTAGCTTTAACATATTTCAACTTGGGCTTCTCGGAGCATAAAAATGGCGTTCGTTACCATCCGTATGCTGCTTTGGTACCTTGGTGGCATTTCTAAGCGGAACTGTTGAACGTTTCCCAAGCTGTAGTTGCAGTACGTTCCCCCGCTCCGATAAAAAGATGAGTCCGTGTTACAAATTCTTGTCGGTTATCTGGCCGAGGTGTGTTAGGTGCAAAGCAACGGGCTGGATTTTTTCTTAGAAAAAGGAAGAAAAAGGTTGCTAGAGTTTGGGTATTTAGGAAATGCCTCTCTTTGGCTGAAAGCCATGGGGAGGAGGTAGACAGGATTGTCTTTTCTGGCATCAGATGTTGCTTAGTGCTCCTGCGCACTGCAGGTGTTACAAGACCGACAAGATACCTGTGCAAGAAAAAAAAGTTAAAGGAGCCGATTAAAATGTGTGCAGAGTGTAAAACAGCAGGACGAAGCCCGGTAAGGAGAGATGCCGGTAGGGATGAGATCTAGTTCCCGATTCCTGCAAATCTTTCTGCTTGAGTAAATCCCCCGGTCGCTCTGAATCGCGCCAGGAGGGGCAGGCCTGCGCGGCTGGCTGTATTTAGAGCTGTCCCCGCCGTTATCCAACTAACACGAAACCTGCTTTTGTTCAGCTTGCTGCAAGCTTTGGAATTAAATTTATGGAGACCAGCGCAAAAGCAAATATAAACATAGAGAATGTGAGTACCGTGACTTTTCTCTTCTACTTATTGTCGTATTTGTGCAAACAAGCAATAAGAACACTTGCCCATCCCGGTTGGATGCGGCACTCCGTTTTTAGATGGTTCAGATGGGTTATCGCACAGGTATCCGTGCATTCCGTGAAGGCGTTGTCTGACCAGCGTTACCCTAAATGGTGGAACGCGGTGCTTAGAGCATAACACAAGGGTGTCACGGCAAACGGCGTTAGAGCAGCGCGCTGAAAAACCCGGCTGACATCTTTGCATTCAATAACGTGGTTGAGAAAGGGCGGCGTTTTCCCCCTCAGAAAACTGTGCCCCGCCGGGGGTGGCGTCTGCCCTTGTGGCTTTCGGGCTCGGAAAGGGGGTAGTGGAGTTAGAAAAGGAGCGTTAAAACCTGGAGCCGGGGGGGAACCTGAAAACCTGACAGGCTTCAGGAGTTCGGTCTACGTAGAAACTCGGGAAGGCAGCTGATCGCTAAGCAAAAGCGTTAGAATATATTTTATTTGCTGTGTAACACTTAACTGTTTTTCTTGTCACAGGCATTTTTCACTCTTGCAAGAGATATCAAAGCAAAAATGGACAAGAAGTTGGTGAGTAACTTTGACTTCAACCACGCTGTATTTAAATAAGAAAAAAACCCCAACCAAAAGCCAAATAGCAAGTACTCTTTCACGGTCTATACAAAATATTTTGTGGTCTCTTCTGGGGGGGATGTACTGAAGGTCATAGACATTATTTATTTTTAGTTTCGTCAAGCTACGCTCTGACCTTGGCTTATAAAGAATCGTCTCCATGTTTCAGGAATTGGCTGCCACGATTGAGGTTTTCTAAATAAAAGGATCTTTTGTTTGTTGCATTGAAAGTCAAGGGAGTGGCAGAGCAGTTTAACGGTACTTCTTGCTCTTGCAGTCCGAAAAACGGAATCGTATAAATCAGACGTGCAGGAGGCCCACCTCATGCTTCAGGGTAGTCTTCAAACTAGTGTGTTTAAAAATAGGTAAAATGCTAATCTTTTTGATAACTTTTGCGAGAGCGTCCTGAGAAACGACCGGGTTGTCTTTTGTACAACAAATAAACGTACATCGATGTCGGTTTGTTCCTTACGAGGTGAAGCTAACAAAGATTCCTTCTGCTTTTACTGAGAATTCCACCTTCGTGTGGCCGGATGTGTGCTGACAGAGCTGTGATGTTTTGGGTCTTGCTGACTATCCCCGAGTGTTTCAGCAAGAGCCAAACGTGGCCTGTAAATTTATTTTTTAATCTCAGCTGTCTTTGAGTTTGTAGAAAGGAGAGGAATAGGCGCAGTGCATGTTAGTCAAAGCCAAAAGTAGCAGACGCAGTTCTCTGACTTCTTGTAGCGGCTGATGGAAGGCTCAGATAAATGAGCGAAGGCTCCTCTTGATTTTAGTAACGGGTTTTGTATATGGCAGGCGTGATTCAACAAAACGAACAGCCGAAGTACGGATGCCAGATCTTACAACGATGCTAGAAGCTGTGAAGTATAAATAAGTAACGTAATGTTCTTTGCGTCTTCAGGAAGGCAATAGCCCGCAAGGCAGCAACCAGGGAGTCAAAATCACACCAGACCAGCAAAAGAAAAGCAGCTTTTTCCGATGTGTTCTTCTGTGAGGGACACGGCCTTAATCTGAGCATCTGCTCAGCTGAACTGGACTGTGCCTGCTCTGAGTGAGATTTCCTCTGTCTGTGGACTTAGCGTTTTCAACGTACCTTGTCACTTTGTGACCATCTGAATAAGAAATTGTTTATTTTGGTAATTGTCTGACTCTTCAGTTTTGGAGAGGAAACAAGTTTATTTTTGTCAGATTGCCACCGGGCATGTGTACTGTCTAGCAGAGGGAGTACAGATCGAATGTGACCCGTGATACAGCACCTTTGCTGACAGGCTTCAATCTTTTTGTTCATATCTGTAATGTATCCAAATTAGAAAGATTAAGTTATGATCAAAATAAGAAACTGAAATGCCGATATTAATAAAGTACAGGTATGTGTACATGATACATGCGCATATCCGTGTCTATAGATGCATATAGAAGGATGGCATCGAAACATCAAATAAATGCGCTTAGTAAGCAGTAAGTACCGGCTTATACCTTTTCGGAAGGTAGAAGGAAGCTTTCTGCATCTCCACCTCTTTGCTACTACAGAGAAAATCCTTTATCTGCCTGTTAGTTATTCAGCTGCGCTATTCTAGACAATCCAGAAGTACAATTGAAGTTTAAAAAAAAAAAAAAAAACCCTCCTCAAAGGAATCTCTATTTTTGTAAAAAACCAAAGTGTGCTGTAAATATAATGGATCCTTACCAGGAATTATGTTATCCGTGTTAGACTTGACTGTGCTTAATTAAGTACTCCAGACGTTTAGGCACCTTTAACAGGAGGTGATAGCTACAACGAGTCCCACACCAACGATCTGCCGTCTGTTTTCAGAGAAGCAGACCCTGGTTCGGGTAGGGACACTTACTCAAAATTCGTAACATTGCAATGGGCGGCTTTTTCTTCTCCGGTCGAGAATGATTCCAGATCTCTCATGGTGTAGTAGCTGATTATAAATTGTGACGAGAAAATGTATTGCACTGCTTCCAGTTGTGTGTTCTCATGCACACTTGCTCACATATGCAAATAAATGTTGCACATACGAACACTTTCTGAAAACAGACTTTTTTAAACTGAGATTTGCCTTGCTGCTGTGTATTGATCATTTCAGATTTCAAGCAGCAACAAACCTGTTAATAGTGTGCATCAATGCAAATGATGTTTGGTCCTCAGTGGAAATGTTCTATGTATTTATTCCTATAAACACAGTCTATTTACATTCCGAGGTATCAAATGTAACGGCCAAGTAAAGCTCCTAGGTAGCTAGTTGCTCTCAGTTCAGAGACTGTAAGCCTGACTCTTAAGTAGACTGACAGAAGGAGCCAGTAAGAGCCATCTACTTCAAAGTCTGCTGTCAAGGGATGGGAATTACGGTATATTTAATTCAGATGAACATACCGGCTGTGTCCTGCAACTCACTGGAATTGTTAACATGCTTTGTTTACATTGACAACTGCACTTAAGGGTAAAATTAAAGCTGATTTTAAAGTTAATGAATTTACTCACCAGTTTTGTTTCCTTCGAGTCTGTGGTATTATATTCTGGCCTCAAAGTAGCACTCGTAACGGATCTTTAACTACAGTAACAATCGGATTCATAACCAAACTGTATAAATCTGCAGCATGCAATTGGGCTCAACAGGAATACTGCCTGTCTTTCTAAGATGGAAAAAGGAAATTTTACTGTGTAAGTTACTGTTTTATAAAAATGCATTTTATATGCCACCAACTTTTTTTTTTTTTAATAGCTAGCAGATTACAATGAGCTCTGTTCATGATTAAAATCATACGTAAAGCTTTCCTCTAAGTAGAACCTTATGACAGGGTTTTTTTGTTTACTTGTGGCTTTTTAGCGTGAGGACTTGGTGAACATGCACCATAGTGGATTACACGCAGATGGATTTGTAGGGTAAAAACCATGTTATGCTACTGAAGAGCCTTCTAGTCAGTACGTGCTTCGAAGTGTAGTTAATACAGAGCTGTAGATCGGACAAGCAATGCTTCTGTCTTGAGATAAGGATGCTTTTAAAGAAAGACTTTGTGTATGCTTCAAGAAATCGCTGGGGCAGAATTGGGGAGGTGATTAAGGCATGGTCTGAATGCTGTTCTCCTACACAAAACAGATCTGTTTAATGATTTGTTGCTGGCTTAGTAGTAAATGTGGATTGTCTCACATCCATCCTTCTACTTTAATATAGCCAGACGTTGGCAGCCAGACTTATTTTTCAAAGTGACGGGACAAATAAGTGGTCAGCCTAACTTGCTGTCACGGGCTGTCCACCACGATACTGGGTATTGCCTGTTGACGGTACCTAACTTGATAACTCATCTTGAGATGAGAAAGAAAACCACATTAATTTACGCGTGATGAAAACTCGAAGGATGGAATTGTGTTTTTCACTCCCCATTTTCTAAATCTTAAGTTACGCTTTTTGCATTCAAAGCTAACTCTTTGTACGTGAATACCTTTTGTTTAAACTTATGCTGGTTGTTGCACATGTTTATGTACCTAATTTATAGCACGATTTCCTTTTACAAAATGATTGGTTTTACTCAATGAATAACTGCGTTACTGCCTGATCTCAGGAAGTTTCATACAGTTACTGTGACTACAGTCATCACTGTACTTCTAGGGTGTAGAGACTCCACACGGAAATTAAATCAGTGTAAGCAATATGAAACCTAAAATGCAAATGTGAGACGGGAAAAGGTTGAAGACGCTGCAGTTGCATGTGTGCTTGGCTATGTGTCACTAAACACGGACATCAAATCTTGGATAAGTACAACGTGTATTGTACTTGTTAACATTGTTGATGTTTCCATCACGTAATTATATTACCATGTTTTTCAAGTATGAATGTTATGGCAAACGCAATGATCAAAAGAGGTACTGCGTAAATACGTCCAGTAATGTATTTCTATCTAAGCTTTCTTTAAGGAGGAAAAAGTCTGAAATTGGATACAAAATTTGTAAAACTGAGGAATTTCAGTAGATACGAAAAACTAACAATGTGCTTACTACACATTCTCAGTGTCTAAATGCCACTAAAATTTCAGGTAATCGATTAACACTTGGTTTGTAGAGAAACAAACCCATTTTTGAGCATGTTCTCAAATTCCCTTACTTTAATGAGTATCATAGAATTCTGTGGTTGAACTTTATTTTTGAGGCTGGTTGCAATATTTCAGATAGTCTTCACCCTTTCAGGTGTAGACCTGTCAGTAGCTTGTCTGTCAATAAATGGTGGAACTGCTGTTTTAACACTTTACCATTTTAACACTTGTGTGGTCTAGGTCCTGTGCTGATAGGCACATCTAATGTTCCTTGACATCAGAGCCTTACACCAGCATCAGACTTTCAGCCTCAGATTTATAAATCCTATGGATTATTGTAAGTCTCTTTACTGCTGCTGAAATTTATTTGGTCTCTCCTTTCATGTGAGATGCTAACCATCTCGCTGACAATTGTGAAGGGTTTTATTGTCGTGGTGGTGGTGTCTTTGGCTGATGATCGTGCTCAAAAGCTACTATGATTTCTTGTTCTCTTGGACTTGAAATGGCTGGAGTTTATGCTGGAGGGGAAATGGGCAAACAGCTGCAGAGAGGCTGGTCTTCATTTGTACTAGAAGTTCACAGGGCTTGGGAAAGAGTGGTGACTAACTTCTGTCTTCATTTATAGGTTAAATAAAGACCTGTTCAATTGAACGCTAATGGTAACATGCAGCCTGATTATTTCGGGCTGCCTTATTCTTTGACCCATCTCTTTTCACTGATCATTGGAGTTTTTGTTTCTGTAGTTAATACAAGTTCAGCGGGCTGGTCTCTCTAGCCTTTCTGCAGGAATCATACGCTCTACGTTGAGCGTGAGTTGGGACTTACTACTTTGTTTTGAAGGGAACGTAATGCATCCCAATATTTTTAAAAATAACTGTAAATTGTGTTTTTAGAATGACCACTTTTGGCTGCCACCGTTCCCA